CATTTCAACCAAGCAATAAATTATCACTTTGGGATAAGCTAACAGTTTAATTAATTTATTTGCAAAACCTCGAAGTCGTGAGCCATGTTCGATAATTTTATTAAGATTTCGAAGAAGTTTAAGCAGTTCTTCGTGATTATTACAGCGTATTTGATGTTCAGCTATCATCGCCTGATTCAATGTATGCATCTTTTGGTAGTATTTACTCATCAAACGGCTGGAAAAATTCTCAAAAATTTAAAAAATATTGAAATTAATTGGTGTTTGATGAAATCAATTAATCTCTTAGGATATTAAATATATTTGTAGATCAGAAATTTGAGAATTAAGGCGAAAGGCTAATCGGTTGGAAAAAAATAAGAAAAGATTAATCAATCTTGATATCTCGGGAAAATATCTCGGTAATTTACAATTGACTGATAGTTCGGGCATCTTCAGCTCGCACCAACATTTCCTTGATCGAATTACACCGTTCGGCTATCGTTACAGATAATCGATCACGCATAATGTACATTTCATATAGCTGTAAAAAAATGGAACATTCATTTTAAAAATTAAAATTTACAAGCGCATTATTTTTTAATATTAAAGATATTTAACAAAATGATCAATTTTTCTGAGAATAATTTCAAATCATTCAATTGTTAAGCAATCAAACATTGATTAAGTATGATTTATTCGATTCAACCAATTCCATTACTTATTTCAATTTTCATTTGATCAAAATATCCATTGAATGTATGATGTGAGAGTGAATAAAATTTTATATCTTTCAATACCTTTTCCGTAATATCATTAAGTTTAGCAATTTCATGAGGAAATTGTGCTGTCGTTTGTATTTCAGCAATTCCAAAAGTTTCAGCGATTGATTGTATGATATTACCAACTAATTCGATATCGTTGTTTTGAATTATTACCTGCAAAAAATTTTTGTTAAATATTTAAATTTGTTTTTTCTCCCATTTTTTTACCTTGAAAACTCAGTTAGTGTCTTTAATTGTAATTGTAATATAAAAATGTGATAAAAATGGGTAATATGAAATGACAGCACAACTTAACCGTAACCTTGAATTATACTTTTTTTCCCGTAGTAATTTTAAATATCAATTCAATTTATTTTCCTTTTATGGTAAATTGCAGGAGTTGAAAAAAAAAAAACTAATTTAAATGCTTGACAATTCCTTTCCCATCTATCCAAACTTTCAATTCTATTTCCCAATGTATAGGAAGAGCTAATGAACTACATGGTAATACTCCAAAATGAAACATCAATTAGTGAATTACACAATTACTTATATTCTATATTAAATATGTACTTATCCTTACATGTGTAAAAGTTTCACAAACTGAAGTAATTGAAATGAGAAAAAATTCTAAAAATTTTTGGAAAATATAAGTAGAAATGATTGTAATATAACCTTTCCGTTTTCATCCATTTCAATAATTAATGGTTCGTTGTTTCGTAAACTGATAAAATTAACAGTTAGCTTAAATTCATCTTCGCAAAGAATTTCATTCGTTAGCAAAAAGTTGCTATTAATCCAAACCGCTAACTAAAATGAATAATATTTCCTTTCCATTTTAACAATTTAATTTTTTTCAAATTTCAGTACTAATTTTAGTTCATTCTGAATGACTTTTAAAGATGGCAGAAGTAAATTACACGTGACGGCCGTTCGTTAATGTGAAATTCAGCTTTTCCTTCTGGTTGTACTGCGTTATTTTCACTCAATGCATACATCGCAAAACGTGGAATGTTGCGTGTTATTTCAAACACGTATAACTGAGTACTGAAAAAAAAATATATATTTTATTATAAAAGAACATTTTTTGCTACAAATCAAAACATTTCTCAGTAATGATGTAAGAAATTCAGATAATCTGTGATATATAAGATTTGCAATGTTCAAAACTTTAAAGCAATGCTTTAAAGTTTTAAAAATGCTTTAGTAGCAAAATAAAGATAAAATCTTTTCTTCAAGTATTCATCCAAACTTTCGGTATTATAAAACTACTAAGATAATCTCAAAAATTCGAAAAATATTCATCAACCTTTTGGCATATCCTACAAAAGCTTTAATATGAAGATCAACAGCTACATCTTTGATAGGGTGAAGTTGAATTGCAATGCAGGAAGAATAATTTCCGGTTGGATGTCTGCAAATTTGTTTTTCCTTAAATATTTCATTTGCTTGCTTTTTCTATACAGGAAAAATTAGTCGAAAGAAATTTAAATTACCAATAATTCAACAATAAAAACAGTTTAAAATATTATTGCTCGTTCAAAATTTCTTCGCTTCAAATAACTTTAAATAAGCGATGCAAAAAAAAAGCTTACATAACATACGATTCACCATCGAAGATACCTTCGGCGAATAAAATGACCGCTCGGATGATAGCATTACTGGAAACGGTCAGTTCTAATTCAACGGTTGATGCGTTTGGTTCGTTCTTTACTGTTAAAGAAGTTTCCAAAATGGTATTAGCCTGAAATGATATAAATCGGAAATAAGCTATCAATATGCGTTGTCACCTGATCGCACTTTCCAGTAAATAAACAAAAGTATTGAAAAGTAAAATCTGTGATTAGCAAGTTTCAACAAGCATTTAATCAATATCTATTATTCAACATCTTTAATTGAAATTCATTAAACCAACAAAGGTAAGTGATAAAGTTGAACAAAAAAGAACTGACAAAGCTTAATATAGCTGCATGTTACTGACACGTGAATTGTAATCGATAAGAAAAGAGAATCATACGTAGGAGGAAAGAATGATATTTTTGTGCCTGAAGCCTGAAACTCACCGGAATGATTTGTTTATTTCTCTCATTCTCATTTGATATTTCATTCTTACATTGCTCGTAATTTTGCAATTCTGCCTAAAATGGAAGAATTATAAAAGAATAAATAATAATAATAATTAGCATTCTAAATCAATCTGTACGATATTCATTGAAAAAAAATTTTTTTTTTTTGGAAGATTTGATATATTCTAAAAAAATAGCATGCAAATGTGAAATAAAGGAGCAGAAAAGCTTACTTTGCATATATCCTAAACAATTTTTCCCACAACAATTACTTATCACATATAACAACACATAAGCACAAGTATTGTAAAATAATAAAAATACATATCATAATTGAAAATTTCAATACATAACATTCAAACCGAATAGTTTTTTATATCACTTTAAGATCAGTGATAAAAAAAGAGCTTAGAAAAAAGAATTACTTATGCGGTACAGAAAATTACAATAGTTTCATTCTAAAACATGCACTTACCAACAAATCGTATTTTTGTAGATTAAGTTCATGAAGCATATTTTGTCCATAATTAATTGCATTTTCTTTCTTATCAATTACAAAGCCATGAACTGAATGCGAAATAAATGTTTTAATATTGAGTAAATGAATAATGATTGTAATCGAGTAGGAAGTTTTTTTTTTTGCAAAATTTAGCGATTTAATTGCAATCAAACATAGTTTTTATTAAAAAGAATAAGATTAAAGAGGTGAATTACACGTATGCATGTAATAGATAAACTCACGTAAAGACGTAAATAGCTCTTCTTGTGCTAACCATGCAAAAATATCTATCAAACGAGAAACAAACCATTTCCATCTACGGAAACAACAATTAGTTGATCATCGGTAATAAAAGTGGTAGCAAGTTGATTGTTAATTGATTCCTTCAATTTTACTTCACCTGTTGTTGGATCTCTCATGTCAATCTGCAAGATTCATTCCATTCATATTAATTTCTCAAAAAAAAAGAATATGTATCGTACACAGTTTTCATTTGAATTTCGTAGATTTTAATTTTTAGCTAGAATTTTAGGCAATTAAACTGATTGCTTACCTTACCATGAATCCATGCACATACCAAAACTTTTGGATCCGGAAATTGTCTTAATGCTACAGCTTGACTTTTACTTTTTATCCTCCATAAACGTGTATTCCCATTGTAGGCTCCTAATGTACCGTTCATGAGAGCGTATGCAAAAATACCATCACCCAAATCACATAATCCAATTACGGCATCTGTTTCCGTTATTTCATAAAGTAACAAATCATTCTTGAAAATACGAATATCAAAACTTTCTGAACCAACAATAAGCTGAAAAAATTAGAAGTTCTTTTTTTTTTAAAAAAAAAATACGCATTTGAAATAATTAATACAAAAATTTTTCCCTTTTA